TTGCAAGTACAAGGACCTGAATCTGATCCCCAGTACCAAAAAAAAAAAAGAAAATGTGGTATTTATACACAATGGAGTACTACTCAGCCATAAAGAGGGATAAATTGAATCACTCTTAGGAAACTGGATGTACTTTGAGACCATAATGTTAAGTGAAATAAATTAGGCACACTAAATTAAATTTAGTTTAAATATCACATAACTTCTCTTATATGAGAAGTCTAAAGTATAAATAATTAATGAAAACAAAATAAAACAGGCAAACAGGGAGATAGATCTTCTGCAAATAGAAAGGGAAACCAGACATGGAGGGAGGGGGGATGGAGAAGACAGGAAGGGGAATAAAAAGATTTAAAATATGGTCAGGAGTAGTAGCACACACCTGAAATCCCAGTACTCAGGAGGCTGAGACAGGAAGATCATTGTGAGTTAGAGGCCAGCCTGGGCTACACAGTGAGTTCAAGTCCAGCCTGAACTATATAGTGAGACCCTATCTTAAAAAAAAAAAAAAAAGAAAGATGTAAGTACATTAAGTACATGTACCTAACCCCTGAAATGAATGTAAAGATTATATATTGCAAACATAAATTTTTTTTCTAAAAGAAAGAGTTCTCAACTTGCAAGCCAGGCGTGTCCCTGTGGTTGGATCTGGGTGGGTTTTCTGGAATCCAGAACCACCATGCTGACCGAAAGCTTCTGTGACTGGGGTTGGGCTCCAGCGACAGTCGGCAAAGAGGGGGCCAAGCCAATCAACCACAACCACAGCACACGCACACCCAGGGGACACTCAGCCACGTGCCACAATGGCAACAGATGAGACAGCACTGCGGCCTGGAGGCCCTGGTTGTCCAGAGGGCTGGCTGAGCTTTCTCAGAGGAGGACGCCACACTGGAGTTTGTAAAGAGGCAGGAAAACCTCAAACACACGCAAGGCAGGCAGCTCTTCATTCCACAGCTGTATGGAAGGACGAAGCAAGGTGGACACGGGCGTGGGGGAGGGAGGGAAGACTCGGCTGGCTGAGCCCCCTCACAGCTGCAGGCCCCAGGAAGGAGACCTGGGCATGCAGAGGCAGCAGCGGGGCCACGGAGTCCTCTGAGCCTCCCTTCTGGAGCGGTGACCACACCAGACTCGAGAAGCAGAGAGAAAAACGGTGTGCGCTGCTCCACAACATGCCTGGAGCTCGGGACGCAGCCAGCGTGGGCTCCTGAAGGGCGCCTGGCCAAGTGCAGCCTGCTGAACTGTGTGTTCAGGGAGGCAGGAGGCACAGTGTTGGCTCTCTCGGCTGAGAAAAAGAGGCCGGGGCCCTGCATGGCGCTCGAGGTGAGGACCAGCAGGCGAAGGCTCCCTCTGCCACCGGGCGCTCTTCACACAGTCTTCAAGTAGACACTTCTCACCTCCTTGTGCCGAGCAGGCGCTCTGAAGTGTTCAGGGCTGACCTCCCTGCTGGAGAAGCACCCTTTAGCCAGTCGAAAAGTCAGAGGCATCGCTCGGGATCCTCTGCAGAGGCTCCTTGTTGTCCAGTTGGGCCGCCTCCGGGAGTAGGGTGCGCTCCGGCTCTGTCAGCCCTGGCCGGGGAGCCTTACGACAGTCACCAAGCACTCCAAGCCTCACTATCTGAACTGATGAAATGGGGACAAAGCACCACCTCGCAGGCCGGCAGGACGCTGAACGTGTCACGGCAGCAAGGGTTCAACACAGCAGCAAAAGGCCCTGCGGGCGGTGGGAAGCACATCCGAGCGGCCAGGGCCCAGAGCGAGGAACCAGCCCACAGCCTTGTCTCTCCCGCAGTATCTGTGTCTATGACTGCCAGGTATGGAACCTGGGAAGCCCTGAGCCCCTGACGGGATTCTAAGCAGATGGGCTGATTCCGTACTCAGGACAGAGGACTCATGAGGCTGGTGACACTCAGGGCCCGGACAGCACTGGCCAGCACTCCCCGAGGCCACCTAGACCATGTGCACCGGAGATGTTTGTTAGGAAGACTGCAGACGGAAACGGGAGTGCCAGAAATAATTAATCTGCGAGCAGGCTTTATGAAGTGTTGATTCACGGCTGCTCCATAAGCCAATGGCCTGTCTGAACTATAAATTAACGAGATAAAATGTTGCCAGCCCTCCATCCTTCAGGCTGGATATTGACATTTTATAGTCCACAGATTTCTAACTGCATTGATTGAGGACACCAGGATGAATGGCCCTGGCACCACATTCCCATTAATGACAATGGGTGCCGCGTGACGAATTCCCGAAGCGCTGTGGCAAAAACACCTGTGCTGCCTGATCCAGGCAGGGAGCACTAATTAGATTGAAATGAAAAAGCCAAATCACCTGTGGTGGGAAACGGTGACTGAAATGGGCACCAGACTCGGCGCAGAGACAGCACGAGTCCAAGCTGGAAGGAAGCTACGGGACCCCCAGCCTCGGTGAGGTGAGAGCGGGGTGTGCAAGCAGGGTGGGCAGCGTGGGGTCCCTTCACCCCAGGAACCCCTCGTGGCCCCAGCTCTGTTTCTTCTGCGCACACCTGGCCAGCAGAAGGAAGTACAGAGACCAGCAAGGCAGGCTGCCCACGGAGCTCCCGCAGGGCCAGGAGACAGACGGGAGCCCAGCATCACCTTCAGCAAGACAGGCCACCCAGACCCGAGGCGTGCCTCCCCAGGGGTGGAGGGCACCCACACGCTCTCCCGGAGCGCCAGCACCAGGCCCTGCACATAGCAGGTGCACAGCAAGTCAACGCATGATGAATAAAATCGTGCCTTCAACCCACAAACCTGGGCCAGCTGCCATTCCCAGCAGAGGTGTGGCGCAGGCGTCCTCAGTCACCCCTCTACCTGCACAGCAACACCCCAAGGCAGAACCACGCCTTCCTCTATCCCCACCCAGCAGGCCACAGGAGGAGGAGCACATGGCCCAGCCTGCTCCCTGTCCTCCAGCGCGCTTCCTCCACAGCTGGACAGGGCTGCAATCACATGGAAGTCCGGCCCCAAGCACAGCCAAGCTGCGGCGCCCTCCTGCCCACTCAGCAGTGGGCCCCACCGCCACCTGCTGCCCTGATATGGAAGTGCCTGACTGGCTAGGCCAGCGTGCCCTGGGAACGTCCAAGAATCTGAGTACACCCTTCCCAACACATGCACACGTGCGCACACACACAATGGCTTGTGTATAACATCTGCTCCAGAGAAAACAATGGCAAAGAGCCATGGTGAACCTACTAATCCCATCAGGTGGATCTGATGTCACCCACATCTGAGAAGTGATGGCACAGCTGTGTGCTCCCGTGATCACAGGCCAGAGCTGCCCACCCCTTCCCACACAGGGCGTGCTGCCTGGGTCTCCACATATACCACCTGGGTTTCTGCTCTGTGCAGTGCTGTCCTGGTTCCGTCTGCTGAGAAGCCACCTGACTTCCCCTCAAACGAACCTCCTCCACCCTGGTTCTCTGGCCATTTAATTCCTGGCTCAGCTCAGGTTTACTTCTTCCCTGACTAAGCTCAGTGCTCTGCACCTGGCCCCTTCACTGCAGCCTGGGGTTGTCTCTGTACCTCAGGGCCTCAAGGTGACCATGTGGATGGCTGTAGACACATGCTTGGCAGTCAGAGGCTGCTCTGCCATCACCAGCCCAGTCCTCACCATCACCGTGTGCCACCAAATGCCCTAAGCCCTGGAGGCCTCACAGCCTTGAGAAGACCACACGGCCAGGGATGCGAAGGTGGCCCTGTCCCCTGGGCACTGAGGGGAGGACACAGGGCCCACAGCTGCACACACGGCTCTGGCCCTTGCCAGCCACACACCACAAGGAGGACCTGAGCAGGTCACTTTGCCTCTGGAGGTCTCAGTCTCCTCACAGTAAAAGGAAAATAATCGCGGCCAGTAGTGAGGTAGAATCTGATGTGCCGTGGGCAAAGTTCCTGGCACAGCCCCCGGCACCCAGGGTCCCCTCGACTGTCAGCTTTGTCAGCCTGCTCCTGAGTGTACGTGGGGCACAAAGGAGCTGTGAGGCCACCTCAGCGGCCCAGGAGGAGAGGAGGACACAGGAGGTGGCCCCTAAGCCCGCAGTTACCTACCCCCTCATTTCCTGTGTGTGCCTACTCCGAGCCGCTGGAGAGCACTGCAGGGGTCGGACCTGGGACCTGGGACCTGGGGGTTAGCAACTCTTTTGTCTCCCTGAATCCTGGGAGAGGCAGCCCCAGAGCTGCCAGCACGGAGCCAGCAGGCAGGAGGCAGCCTGGGGACACTGGTGTGGACTCCAGCCCTTCCTGCTGCCCTTGGATGTGCCCTCCACAGAGTGACCCAGGAAAGCCCAGGAGCAGAAGGCCACATGGGCACTGAGAGAAGGTAGGAGGGAGGCAGGCAGCATTGCTGCCCCCAGTTCCCCATCCTGTTCAGTCCTCACCATCCCTGGGACAGGGTGGCCTCCGGGCCCAGGCTGCAGACTCAGGAGCTGTGCCTGGTGCACCAGACACTGGGGAAGTGAGAGTTCCTTCCATGACTTCACTCTCCTTCTTGCCTGCTTGCCGAGGGGCCCCTTGGGATTCACCCAGCACAAATCCATCTTACCCAGATGCCTTTTCAGTATGTCCATTAAAGCAGAACTTGTCTGAGGACTTTCCTGATGAGCTGGGATCATTCTTACAGCTTTCGTGGGTAATGAATTGACAGGAATTCTAAACTGACTCCGACCAAAGCCACCGTGATAAAGTTAAATCTATTCTGGTACAAATTGCATGTCAGAAGTTGATTAAAAAGCCACTTCTTTATCCAGCCTCACAGCTTGGGACTGAGACAACCTTGGGCTCTGTCCTCTGGTGGCTGGCAGCGGCCACCTCGATCCTCCAGGAGCCCCAGTTCCAATAGCAAACGTCCGGAAACCCCTCACGAGGTGGGCCTGTCCTAGGCCCCTCCCAGCACCAGGACACTGCGTGTGGCTTGTGGCCCGGGACCCTCCAGAGAAGCTTCCCAGCCAGGGAGCTGCCAACTCCCCCAGGCGATGACACAGGAACGCACCTGTTTCGAGGTCTGTCAGATGCAAGGCAAAATCAAAGCCACCACTGAGGATGCGCCGGCCGCAGGGAGACCACTGGGCAGCTCGCACTGCCTCACTGTGCAGGGAGTAGGTCTGCAGGCAGCGCCCGGAGTCCACGGCGTCCCACACCTGCAAGGAAAAGGCAGACAGATAGACAGATGCTTGTGAGAGAGCCAAGGACAGGCAGCACAGACCTGCTGGCCTAGTGCCACCCCTCTGCATGGGGAAAGGCTCACAGTGGAGGTGGAGTCCCCTTATTTTACCAGCAAAACCTTATCTCCATGTTAAAGTTTTCCTTACAGAAATGTGAAGGCTTACTTTGCCCAGGGTTAAGAAAAGGCATTTCCTGTCTGGTCGCTAACCCAGCCATCTGCACCTGCTTCCTACCTGCTGGCCATCAGAGTCCTGCTCCCTCACCAGGCACAGTCCTGTCCCCATCTGGCCTGCATCCCTGTCATCTGTCCTGTAGAGGACATGGCACATGGCCAGGCGATATTCACGAGCTTTTTTAAAACTAGGATGGATCCAAAAAGAAATCTGCCACACCTGCTCAACGGCTGGCAAAGACCAAAACCCTGCCTTAGGCAGCTGAGCTCCCGTAGGAGAAAGCATGCTGTCCTCGTTCCCACTCTGGCTTCCCACGGGGATTGCATACACAGAACAACTTCTGAAAGTGACTTTTGAGCCCAGGTACAGACCACATGCTCCGACAGGCAGGCCATGTGTGCGTGTAGACTGGCTCAGCACTCCCCAGCCTGCAGCAGCCCGGCCACCCCCCACCCCACGTAGCTGGCAGGACTCCCACAGCTGTCCAGGGCTGGCAGGCGGGGGAGATCACAGTGCCCGTTCCTTCCTCACTGTCACCACAGGACAAGGGCTGAGCGCCTCCCCCTGGTGATGCTACCTGCCCATCTGTGACCTGGCCCAGCAGTGTTAGGATCTGGGCCTCAGTCTCCCCTCCACAAAGTGGAGCTCATTAACAAAAACATCACCCAGGGTGCGGTGAGGCTAGAGCTCTGCACAGCACGCAGCCAGGGATACAGGGGACATGTCTGACCAGTGGCATTCCCTGAGCTCCCTGCCGTGATGTCAGGAAAACCAAGACTCATCTGCCTTAGTAAGACAGAAACCCAAACAAAGCCCAGACTCACACTTCCACAAACCCAGTCCTAGGGGAAACCTTCTCGTTAAAGATGAGAAAAAAATCCAACCTGCCAAGACGTGAAGTTCACCAAATGCAAAGGATCAGAGTCCTGTGAGCAGCTTCCTGGAAATATGTAAATGTCTAAGCTTAAGAAAACAAGAAGTCAAGAATAGCCTGCCCAGAATGTTGAGAGCTCCATTCCTTTCTCCTGTACCACAGGGGTCAACAGCAAGGGCTCACGCTGGAAAATCAAGAAGTAGCAATATTCACACTTAGAAACACAGACAGAAATAACAGAAGAAATGGCCAGAAGACTTGAAAGTGGAGTGCAAATTCATGGAAGTGAAGCAGAGAGCACGTTGCTATTTTTTTAAAACTATGTATAGTATGACATTAATAGAAAAAATACAGTAAAATGAATTAACTAGATCTATAGGGCTAACATGGTTAAAAAGTAACAAAACAGCCAGTACATAAGGCAAGCTGTTTATAAAGTATGATCCATTTTATTTAAAAAACACACAAAATACCACTTCATACCTACAGGGGAACCTCAGTTCACGCACTTAATTCTTTTTGTTTTTTCTCTCATACTAGGGATCGAACTCGGGACCTTGTGCTTGCAAGGCAGGCGGTGGAACCACTGAGCTAAATCCCCAGCCCTACACACTTAATTCTTCCCACAATTCTGGTCGCAAACCATACTGGATGAAAATCGGATCAAATTTCTCCATAAGGTCAACACTGAATCTAACCATTGAATTTGATTTATGTGGTTCTCATCCAATTCGGTTATGTGACCAGAACCATCCAAAGAATTAAGTTCGTAAACCAAAGTACTAGTATATACCACTATACTAGTATAGCCACTATCAAAAGAACACAAAATAACAAGTATAGACAAAGATAGAAATTGGAAACCTTGGGTACTGCTGGTGGGAAGGTAAAATACTGCAGCCATTACAGAAAACAACATGGCAGTTCCTCAAAAAGTTAAAGACAGAATTGCCATATGATCCAGCAATTCCATTTCTAGATATATAACCCCAAAATTGAGAGCAGGATCTCAAAGAGATATTGCACACCCATGCTCATAGCAGCATTATTTACAACTAGCAAAAGGAGGAAGCCACCCAAGCTGTCCAAGGGCAGATGAGGAGAGAGACCAATATGGCGCATCCATCCATAGCACTCAGTCTGAAAATGGAAGGGGCTCCTGTGGCTGCTGCTTTATGACAAAACCTGGAGACATCATCCTAAGTGAAATAAACCAGTCACAGAAGGACAAACACTGTGTGACACCACTCACAGAAGCCCCTGAGGGGTCAAAATCATACAGACAGGAAATAGAACAGTTGTTGCCAGAAAGGAGGAGAGGGGAGATGGGAATTGTGTAGGCGGACAGAGTTTCAGTTTTACAAGATGAAAATTGTTCTGGAGGCAGATGGTAGTGATGGTGGCACCCCGATGTGAATGTACTTAATGCCACTGGGCTGCATGCTTAAAGATGGTTAAGGCATTAAATTTTACCTTGTATTTTACTATTGTTTTTGGTACTGGAGATTGGACCCAGGGCCTTCTCACTGAACTACATCCCTAGCCCTTTTTCATTTTTATTCTGAAATAAAGTCTGGCCAAGTCCCCCATACTGGGCTAGAACTTGTAATCCTCCTGCCTCAGACTCCCAGAGTGCTGAGATTACAGACATGCACTGCCATGCAGCTTCACCACAATTTTTAAAAATATGCATACAAAACAAAATCCTATCTCACTTTTAGTCAGGCTGTAAAAACATGCATAGGGCAGCTGTTGTTTCTGGGACTGGAGGAAAGGAGCTGTGAACACTGAGCAGTATTTCCTCTTCGGAGAGAAAGAAGCCAGGAGAGGAGGGGAGGGAGGAGGGCAAGGGGAAAAGCTGCCCGAAAGCTTCCACATGTGACAGCTTTTACCTATTCAGTCACCCAACAAGTACTTCCTGAGTGCCTGCTGCAGTGGACCCTGGACTTAAGAACTCAATTTGTTCAGGAAGGCTGGTTCTAATTCAAGTTGGTCAGTGAAGGCTCAGACTCCTCTACACAGCCTTCAGAGTCTGTCTCCTGTACACAGGCAGATCTCAGTGTCCTCAGAGAGACACTGGCCCAGGATTTCTCAGTTAACCTCACACAGGAGAGGATGCTGTAATGTCCCTTCCAGAGCTCTCTAAGGGTTAAATCTGTATCCAAGACCATGGAAGCACAAGCAGCCGGCATTCAGGTCATAACTCAAGACTTTGGTCATAAGTTAAAACTAAAATTCCAGTCATAAGCCAAGTACTTCGTATGTCAGGCCAGTCATAACTCAGGGGTTCACTGTATTAGCCAAGTATTGATCAATAGTAACCAAAGAAGACCAGGGCCAGGGATTTAGCTCAGTGGTTCCGCTGCCTGCCTCGAAAGTACAAGGTCCCGAGTTCAATCCCTGGTACCAAAAAAAAAAAAAAAAAGACCACAGCCCATGCCTTCAAAGAGTCTGCATGTTGGTGAGGGAGACAGGCACTAAACACACAGGATCTAGAGGTGACAGGGTGGAGACAATGACAGGTTTCTAAAAGTAATAAAGAAAGGGGTTCCCAAGGTCGGGGGGAAGGTGCTCGAATGGCGGCCGGACCAGCTCTCTGTGGGAAGATCGGGAAGGTGAGAAAGACAGGCAGGGGAGGGTAAGAAGGCGAGGTGGGCTGGGGTGGAGGCTTCCAGGCAGGGAGAGGCCTGCACTGGCACAGCCGGGCAACAGCGAGGCCAGCATGGCTGGAGAGGAGATGCCGCTGGAGGTCGCAAGGAGCACAGCACCAGACTCTCTGGAGGCAGAAGGCAGGGAAGGGCTGGCTCCAGTGCCAAAGGGAGCAGAGTGGGGCCAATGGGGACACAGGGAGCTGCTGAACAGCTTCTTCCAGAATATAGGGCAGGGAGGAGGATGGCTCAGAGCACTCGCAGGCAGTGGAGAAGGGGGCCCCGCGGGAGGAAGAACCAGCAGGAATCCCTGGGCTGGTGGTGGCCGGTGAGGGTGAGGAGGAGGTCCAGGACAATGCTGAGGCAGGCAAAGGAGCCGCAGGGTGGTCAGCCTCTAGGAGGAGTCAGCTGGACGGGCAGGAGGCCAGCGGCTCTGCTCTGAGGACAGAAAGGGGTGGCTGAGCAGATGGGGGTGTTCAGGAGAGAGAGGTCCAGGGAGGCCAAGCTTTGGAAGTCAGAGTCACAGAAGGTGTCTCAGTCACAAGCAGGCTGAGCTCTCTCCAAGGGGATAAGCGTGGACATCGCAGGCGGGCTCACGTGAGAGGTGAGAAACCAGAAAACGGGTCTGAGAAGAGCAAGGAGCAGGGAGACGGGGTGCCCTGGAAGGTGAGAGGAGGGGCATCTTGGGAAGAGCTTGGTCCGTGTGTTCCACACTGCTAGAGGCTGGGTCGACCTGGGGACAGACCTGGGATTGAACCTTCTGTGCAGCGGGCACACAGATGTCTGTGATGTTACTTTCTACACCTTTGAATGAGATAGATACAAATAATTCGTGATTTAAAATAAAACGCGAAATTAGTAAGTGGAAGAGAGAAGGGAAGGAGGAAGGAGAGAGGGGGAGGTGGCAAGAAGAATCCACAAAGGAAGAAAAAGGGAGGGGGATGAGGAGGAAGAGGAGAAAGGGAGGAAGGAGCAGAGGGGACAAGAGAGGGGCAGAAGCGGAAGGACCATGGTGGTAATGAAAGAACAGGAGGAAGCAGAAGCGTGAACTCAAGAGCCCAAGGCCAAGAGCAGCGAATGCCAGGGCAGAGCCATCCTGAATGAGCCCGAGACAGTCCAAGGTGATGGATGCATCCATCTGGGGACCGCACAGTAACCCCCCTCAGAAGTGAGAACCACACGCAGCTCCCGGCTGACGGCGATAGCATCATCGAAATGAGTGCGGCTCCTCAGCCTCACTCCAAGCTACCCAGGGCAGAGGAGCGGTGACTCTCTGCCAG